GGGCACCAACGGACCCATGCGCGTGGTCCCTGGCTCCATAGCTGGCACCCTGAGCACTGTATTTGCCCAGGTCCTGGCCTGGATTCCACCTAGCAACACCCAGACTAGCCTCTCACATCGGATGCTTTTATATATAGGAACCGGAGCTTGCCCTGACAGCTGCCAGTACCCAATCCCTGGCACCCCTCTGGCCTATCTGTAATCAACGGGGGAAGGAGAGGATTTCTGGCCAGCATGGCTCCATGGTGCAGTGGATAGGGCACAGGAGCGAGAGGCAGGAGACCTGGCCTCTATTCCTGGCTCTGCCACTGACTCAGTGTGTGATACTAGCCTCTGTGCCTGGGTTTCTCCACCTGGAAAATAGGGATAATAAGGCTCGCTAACTTCTCTTGAGTGCACTGAGATCTGTGAGTATTATTTCTGTGCGCTGGTCATCCACCAATGGCTTGGCTTCAGTCCTGTGTCCTGTTCCTCTGCCCTTTGTCTCAGGGGCTCTTCAGAGCAGGCACTGCACCTTTTCTTGTGTTCTGACAGCACCTGAGACAAGGTGCTGCTTCTACAATCTAAGTAAATTCAGCCCTGTCCGTTACTAAGCAGTGGGTGTCATTTCTTACCATGCTGCAACTAAACACATAACTTCTTCAGAGTGCTGCTGGGCACTAAGTCTGCCTGGGAAACAAGGCTTGGCCGAGCCCCTGAATAGGTCACAAATCTGTGACAAAGCAGGACTCCTGTTATTGTGCTGCATGCCAAGGTCACTATGAACTCCAGGGCGGCAGGGGGGCTAGAACTCGGAGCCTCCTGCTCCAAAACCATAGGCCTCTTCTGCATGAGCTGAGGAGAATTTCCTAAAGCTGCTGTTAATCTAGGGCCTGTGACACAAGGGTAGGCAGTTCTGTTTCCATGCCACAGTGGGATGTGATGACACATACACAGCCTGTTTTGCACTAGTGCGATCAATGTGTCCCATATACTAAAGCACACGAAGGCTGAGGGGAGCTGGAGATGCATTATCCCCCTCTTAGAAATGGGAAAACTGGATTAATGTGACTTGCTGCAGGTCACACAGTGAATCGTGGCAGAGCAAAGGGCTCGGAGCTAGAAACTCCTGGATTCTGTCCCTGATCGAATCCCTTGACCACACTGACAAAAACCTTCCGTGTTCCAGCACCAGCAGTAAGCAGGGGGCAGTTCCCGTCCGCTGCGAGGGGGATGGCTGGAGTGTAAGCCCTTGGGGGCCCGGATGGTCTCTCCTATTGAAGCACTTGATGTGCTTTTAAGTATCATAAACTAATCAATATTTCTCTCATCAAGCGGGGCAATAGGTGCTGTAGCTTCCTCTCAGATGTTTCCCTAAGAGCATGAAGGTTTCTCCTGCATGTAGAAGCCTGATTGCTCCTACAAAAGGCTGAGATGGAGGAGCAGCCACGCTTCGAAGGAGCCATTGCCAGTGGAGCAGGGGAATGCTCGGCCCCTGTCAGCTGTGGAGTGACTTGCCCTGTTCCTGGCTCCCATATGTTGAAATCCTCTTGCTGCCCTGGCTAATGCTAGAGTCAGCTCCTGACCAGGCCCGCTAGCTCGGCCCGCAGCAGGGTGAAGTCCTGCTGGCCCCTCTGCTGCCCAGAGCCGCGGCGGGTGTGGGCCCAGGCTGTTAGGGGCCGGTGAGAGGAGGATGTGCCCCAGGCGCTGCACACCCTGTGTGCTGGGAGTGAGTTCCCCGAAGGGAGGCTGGGGGTCCCGGGGGTCTGGGATGAGCTCACGGCGCTGGCCTGTGGCCATGCAGGTAGCAGCCAAGAGCCCCAGCTGGAGCAGGTCGCTGGTGCTCGGCGCTGTACAGCCAGGCGCTGCCCCCAGAGCCCACAAGCCGAGCACCGGACAGGAGGCGGGGGGCACGGGCCCTGGCACGGCCTGGCCCCGGGGGGCGCGTGTCTGTCCCGGGCCGGTCTGGTCTGCCAGGGACGCGGCGCCGCTCGCGGCTTCCCCGCTAGGGGCGTGTGGCCCGGCCGGGAGCGGAGC